CCCACCCCCATTGGCCCCTCCCCCCTGCTCTGAGTGTCCCCTGCCACCGCCACCGTGACATCGTGCGCCGTGGTGGTCCTGGTGGCCACGTGCAATGAAAAATGTTTCCCTGCAACCAGCGACCTTCCTGGTGTCTTTCCCTGCCTGCTCCTGCCTGCACCTCTGCTGCCTCCACGGCCACCCATCAATCAGGACAGGGGGATGGAGCTGCTGGCCAATGGGAGGGAGCGAAATGGGGAGGGGTGGGGCCTGCTGGAGGGCAGAGCCTGCAGAAGGCAGGGACAGGGACCCCCAGGTCCCCACTGGGACCCCCCGGTGCCCCCCATCTCCCCACACATGGGTCCCACAGCGGTTCCAGCTGCACAGCCCCCCGGCCGCCTCCCCCTCCACCGGTCCCACGGCAGCAGAGCGGCTGGTGGGGCGCTCCAGGCCATGCTGGTGGTCACCTCCTGCCACCCGTGCCATCCCCCTTGGCCCCTCTTTCCGGAGAAGGTCCACAGCCACGCTTCCCGCCCGGGCCCTGGAGGCGGGGGGGTGACCCCAGCTTCCTCCGCCCCGTGCCCTGTGATTCACCTGCCCTTATCTCGCGTGGGTTGGCAATCTCGGCAATCCTCTGCGACGGCACAGGCAGCTGAGCCCGGAGGAGAGGGACAGGCAAGGTGTCCCCAGGGACGGGGGGCCTTCTCCTGCCGCATTTTGGGTGCTGTCCTCGCAGAGCCTCTCTCTGATCTGTCCTTGTTGCGTTGGCTCCATCCTGGTGGGTTTCTGGGCTCCGTTGCTCCATCCCGGCTGCTCCCCGTCTCTTCTGGCCCTGCTACACCCACCCTGTGCTTTGAAAACTGAGAAACCAAGTTAAACCCAGCTCCTTGCTTCTCAAGAACAAAATCCCCTTGGACATGTCCCCACCAGCACGGTGCAGGGTCCCCAGGGAGCAGAGGGATGTGCCAGGCTGCTCCATCCCCCAGCCTGGGGGGCTGCCTGTGCTGAGGAAGGACGTCCCCCTCCCTCCTGGGCCAACTGGGAACGGGGTGGCTTTGTCTGCTGGCTGGTCAGCTGCGTCACCCAGCCCATGCTCTGGGATTTTACCCCGTGGGTAGGTCTGGACGCTGCGTCTGACGCGAGTATTTCCTCATCAGTGCCACGGAGCTCAGAGCTCTCTCTCCAGATGGGTCCCCACGCGGGGCTGGTGGGACGCCTGCGGGCAGCCCGGCTCTCGGGGAAGACGGGGCCCATGGGGCACCGCGTGGCCCCGCC